GACTATACATGCTATGATATATCACATTTTGAGAATACAACGACATGATTTTATCATACAAGGACTTGAAGTAACTATATTGAAATTAAACGTATAATTTTTTAACTTTTCAAGGGACAAATGTTATATGATTGTTATATCTAAGCACTCAAAATCCAACCAAGATATAGATATTTATAGATATTTATCATATCCACATAAAAGATAATGACAACTATAGTATCTATGCACATATATTTGTATTGATATAGTAGCCATATCCACAAACAATTCAGCAATATATCTACTCTCACTACAAGAAATGAGATTTTTAGTGACAAAAAATTGTGACGAATATTGAAATCAACACTGTAACTTATTACATTTGTGAAAAAATTTAAAAATTAATCACAAATGCAAGTATATTCATTAATGATAAAAAAAATTCATCATTAAAAAGATATTTCATCACTGAAAGATGATCACAAATAAAAAACAAGTTTGTAACAATAAAAATAATCACTATAACTCATCCCAATTAAGACAAATTTTAAATATTAATCACATATACTTTACACATTCAATGATGACCATATAATTCATCACTAAAAATAAATTTTGTCACTAAAAATAGATTTGTCACTAAAAATAGATTTGTCACTAAAAATAGATTTGTCACTAAAAATTGTCAAACAAGAATGGATAATTATACATACACCTAAACAATCAACACCCATCTCAACACCCAAGGCTAAAATGAGGAGAAGTAAATTTGTAATTTTACTGTTCATAAGCCTTGGGTGTTAAGATGGGTGTTGATTATTTGGGTGTATGTATAATTGTCCAACAAGAATACATACTTGTGATGATAAAATCACCACTACAATTCAGCATTATTTAAGTTTTCTCTAATCAATGCATCCCACATTGATAAAAAACACAAAAAAAAAGGTTTTACACTATAAATATATCTTACATCGGTGAGAAATATTTAAGAAAATAAAGTTTTGTACTATAAAACTAGTGACTACTTGCAAACTAACTAATTGACACTTGTGCTTAATTTATTTCTTTTAGTTCTATTTGAGTAATATAATGTGAAGCTCAATAAAATTTGAGTTTAGTTTGGACCCAATTAATTTTAGGGTCCAAACTAGCTTGATTAATTTTAATCGAAATTGATTGGTGTTGAAGTAATAATATTCTTTATTAAACTTTTGTGATAAATATATATATCTATTTTTTTTGTGACAAAATTTTTGTTACAGTATTTGTATTGTAATTATATGAATATTTTTTTTATTTAATATCAATTTTAATAATTAATGACTAAATTTTTTATAACAATTGCATTTGTGACTTTTTTTTGTCACTCAATTGTAACATCTGTGATGAAAATTATTATAACAAAAAATATTTTTTTGTAATGAGTAAATTTATTATGAATAACTTATTAATAATGTAGATTTTTTTCGTCACTATAAAATTCTTTTCTATGACCGGTGTCAAATTCATCATTAAGAGCATTAGTGACAAGGGTTTTACTAATTATTTAAATTTCATCACCAATTTTTAGTTTGTGATGAAAAATAAATGTTTATTAGTCACTAAACGTGGATTTTCTTGTAGAGTCTTTCAGAATGTTTGTAAAATAAATCTAGTGTGTGCCATATGCATATGATTATACCATGCAAAATAATGGGGCAAGCATTACACAATAATATGGATTATTATATTAAGTGAGATAGAATCAATGTATATCTCACTACAGTATTTCTCTATATATAAACTCTTAAAGAGAAGTAAAATAATGTCTATTAAATTTGTTCGAGTGAAAAGCCAACAAATTCTCTTTATAAAATCATTGGCTTCTAGAACTTTAAGTAGCTAAGAAACTATATTGGTATAAATTGCTTATTAAATTTAAGGGAAGTATTATATGCACCTTTTTTTTTTTTTTTTCCACTAGGTGTTTCCTGACAAGATTTTTAATGAGGCAGTTTAATAAGTTTATAACAAAAAAATAAACATCTAAGAAGGAGTGTTATGAATAAATTTATTGTGGATATTTTACCTTCCTTATCTTCCATCTCCTTACTCTCCATGGCATTTACACACTAAGTAATAGTGTAACTTCCATTAGCTGTGTGCAATTATAAGAGTGATTAACACCCCATAATGCTATGCATTTAAATATTGATAACAGAATTCCTTGTAACTCCTCCATTTCATGTTTTTTTTTTTTTTGAAAATCCAATCAAACTTTTATTAAAGAGCATAAGAGGTACTCGAACCCACATACATCTAGTAAGTATTAACAATATTGCAATTTCTTACGCCACCATTGCTCACTATGCCATGAACTATTTAGCCGCTTTTTTTTATTTATTAAATACCCTCTGGGGTTTGCCTTCCATTCTTCAAATGTATGAGGCCAATTTTCCATGTAACCAATAATCCTGATAGGAGCGAACCAGCACCAAGTCCATGACCCCTTCCATAGAGTGTTTTTTCTTGTTAAAAACTGCCTCATTTCTTGATAGCCATAGGGACCACAAGACAGCAAACCACACAATCATCCATCCACTCTCTGAATTCATAACTCCCCCATGATGCCTAAAAATTTCTTTCACAAACCCATGCACGACGCAACTAATGCCCTACCGCCTACGGCAATCATCCATAAATCATGTGCAAAAGCGCAATTAAAAAAATACATGATTGATGTCCTCTACTTCAGTGGTGCAGAATTCACAAAAAGACTCAACTAGATTTGTAATTATATTCCTTCTTACCAAATTAGCCTTGCGTGGTAATCTTTCTTGTATCAATAAACATGTAAAAACACACACTTTGTTTGGCACTAATGAATTCCAGCATCTTTTGTATAAGTCTTTGTCTTCCAAATCTTTCATTCGGATGAGTACACTGTATGCAGATTTCACAGAGAATGCCCCATCCTTCTCATGAGTCCAGCACCATATGTCCTCCTGATCTTCTTTAGTTTGCATCCAGCCAACAAGTTCAGAAGCTCTGTCACTTGATCATCCTCATATGCTAGTACTCTTCTTCTCCAATTTAGGCTCCAGGTTCGCTTGCCTTCTCTCCATTCTCCCATTCCGTGCACATTGCTCCTTTTATCCGTAGAAATAGAAAGCAATATAATCCTGGGAAAATTTCACATAAGTTCTTTTCCCCCACCCATGCATCTTTACAAAACGACACCTTTTTCCCATTGCCTAACACCACCTTAAACCCATCTTTTAACCAGTTCTCCTTATGCTCTCCTGAAATATTGACCTTGCATATATCCTTCCACCACTTTGAAACCATATCTCTAAGCCTACACACCCAATTAATCCCGTTTTCCCCTAATATATTATATTTTTCTCTCAAGACTCTTTTCCATAAACTTGACTCCTCATTTGCGAAACTAGCCCACCACTTACCTAACAATGCTAGATTGAACAGCTTGAGACTTTTAATTCCCAACCCTCCGTCCTCTTTTCTATATATTGCACACATTCTCCCATGCCACTCATTTCCCCTCATCTATCCATTAGTAAGTAATTAATTTTTTTTAAATTTTTTTATCAACAAGTAATTAATCTTTTTAAGCTTTCATTTAGTGAGCGTTTAATCCTCATTACTTCTATTACTCATTGGCTCTTATATATAGGGGTTATACTGTTGTAAATGTATGTATAAGACTAAAATGGAAATGTATCTTTGCATTGCCTCATTTTATGCCTCATTTTATCTCTTTAATTTTTTTTCTCTAATTGATTATTTCTTTCTTTTACAGCATAAAATAATTTTTTTATTAATAACTTGTTTTAGTGTAAAGGAATGGAAAGGTAAGAGATGTAGTTTTATTTCGATCAATTAAAATCAGCAAAATAATTTCCTAAACCAAACAAGTGTAAGTAATTTTCTAATTGATGCTCCCAATCCAAACTCACTACCACAACGGGTAAACTTTGGATAAGTTCGGATAAAATGAGCCGCAATGTTGTTCCGCACCGGCTGGTTTCTGGTTCTCGTTGAACAGAGCAAAGATGTACGTATCCAGATTTAGATCTGGCTTCCGTGGCGTACCTCCCTGGTTCTGAATCCGATTCTTCAAATTATTGTTGTAAGTCATAGCGCTCTCGAAGTTTGAGTACGGTTCGTTTCCGGCACTCGGCCATCCACTCTCTGCCACTACGATTTTGATATCCTCGCTTCCGATTACCTTCACCATCGCCGCTACAAACGCATCCACCATCGCGTCAAACAGGTTGTAGTATTGCCATTCTCCATCTATGACTACGGGTTGTTTAGATGTAAACAAGGCATAGTCCAACGAGATATGTTCTGTATCTGAGATGTAAGCGAAGTATGGATAAATATTGATCAGGAGAGGCGCGTTGTTGTCATGTAGATATTTTACAATGTCACTCATGATTCCTGCCACATTGTCAGCGAATACGCCGGTGGAGGGAGGATACGAGCTTCCGAGCACACCAGCGCTCACGACGGTGGAGACCTGGATGTAGTCGGAGAGTTTAGCCTCCACTACCGCCTGTTGGAGATTTTTCATAGCAGGGAGGACATTTTCGGCGAAAGGACCAGGGATGACCTCATTCCCAAGTGTAAGATAGCGGAACTTAGTGCCGTTACCAGCGGAATCCATGTACGGCGTGACGTATTTGTTAAGCCATTCTCTGGCGAAGTCGATGCTACTGGCCAATTGGGAAAGGTCTTCATTTAGGGTGCCCAAACTGACAACAAGGTTTGTTTCACTCAGTGCAGCTAAGGCTTCGGGCTCCGGATCGAATAATCGAACCATTGGAATTTTGTATTGCAAGTCGCGAGCAAGGAATTCAATGACCCGTTTTGGAGATGGCAAATCGTTGGCTATTCTTCCATAGTTGATACCGACATTAGCTCCTGTAATAATTGTGCACAAATCATCCTTCATTGTCATAGGAAAGAGTAGGAAATTCTTACTCTGACAGGGAGGAAAATAGTAGAAGAGAATTTACTATCGACTCCACTATTGATTATCAATATTTGATCTGGTGCAATTTGAATTACACAAAACATTTTTGTCTCTATATTTCAAACCCTATAGTATTTCAAGAAAAACATGCAACATACCCAAAACTTCAGAATGGTGAGACATAGCCATTATTACGAATAACAGGATCCATAGAGCAGAAGTAGGGGTCATCTTGGGTCGTCTGAGAAATCTAGGATAATCACGGATAAACCATTTTTACATTAGAAAAAGGAAAGAAACATGTAATCTTAAGTGAAGATAGGCGATTAAGCGACATGCTACTTACAAAGGAAGCAGAGAGGAGTACCTGCGTTTGTAAAAGAATTTTTGAAGATGGAGTATTGATGAGGTAGAATTACGATATTGATATACCAGAGGTGCGAACAGGCCTTTGCTGCCTCTTATTATGATCCTTCATGTGAAAATCAAAGGGAATCAGAATCAGGTCATGTTATTCAACATTAGAATAATTCTTAATTAGAGTGGTTTCAAAAGAATAATGCCCGTTTAGTGGGACGTTCGAAATTTATTTTCAAAAACGTGCTTAACTCCCTAAATTATTCCAAGTCAATATCTTGTACTAAAACATTTTTTTTTTCATGTATTGCACGGATTGTTTTTCAATTCTTTACATTAGAATTTGTATTCTATATTATTTTTAATAAACTCTTTAATTTTATAATAATTTTTTAGTTAAAAATTCTAATTAAGAGATTAAAGTTGAGTTTGAAATTACTATTGATAATTGGTAATTGTATTTTTTCAAAACCACACAAAAAAGAAAAAAATATTAAGAGAATTTAAAAAATATTTAATATTAATCCTCACCTCTTAATCCAAATAAATCCTCTCTTGTAAAAAAATATTCTCAGAATATCAATTATTTTACACGATTTATTTTTATTAATCAAATGTATTTTTCCTTTAACTAAATATATATTTTAATTTGTTAAACTCTTTGATTATCTATTTGATTTATAAAACTAATAATTTTAATAAATATTTTACATGTTATTTTATCTTCTTTTTTTTTATAACATATATTAATGTCACTCATATTAAAAATATGAATCATGATACGTACACACCCTAAACCCACACCCAATGCTACACACAACCGGTCCATCTATTAAAATATAATTTTCCTCACATGGGTTCCCCTCCATCCCTTCATCCACTTATTCTTATTTGTGTAACCAAACACACACCGAAAATAATACCCAAATTTGTTCCATCCCAATTTCCAGCACCTTCTTCCTTCTTTCTTTTTCCTTTTTTTTTTTTTCCTAGAGAACGACTTGGGTTCTTGGAGAACCCAGATCGGGTTCTTGTGTTCTTTTTTTTTTT